GCTGAACTTTCAGCGCCTTCTACGCTAGCTTTTAAATTGCACTTTCTAAAGAGGAAAAAGATGGAAACATGAGGAAGCCATACTTGGGAAGGTAGTCCTTCTCCACTGGCCCTCAGGCCCGTTCTGTGGGTGCACCCGGTGGGGTAAAGGTTTCTAGCCATTCCTCCAGATTTTTCTGCTCATAAATGTGTCTTTTAATTACACAGTTGAGATCTATTTTGCTACTTGATGTTTTTATTTAACAGTGTATCTTGGCTATCTTACATGTACAGATCTATTCCATTCTTCTCACCACTTAGTCATCCATTGATTAACTAGTCCTTATTGCATGTATTTAACCAGTTGCATGTGGATAGACATTCAGATTGTTTACAGGTTTTTTTGTTTTGTATTCCTATGTAAATGATGTCGTGCATAGATCCTTGTACATATTTATTAGCACACGTGTACAGATCTTGGAGGCGATCACCCACCTCCCACTTGGGAGTTTCCAGAAGGTCAAAGCAGCCCAGATGCTTTTGGAAAAGGCTACTTCATGCCCAGGCCCCCTCCCAGCAAAGGGTTCTAAGGGGGACCGGGCAGGGACAGAGCCAGAGCTACCTGGAAGGGGGGTGGGTTGCATCCTGAGTCCCCACTTGCCACCAAGCCTGGGTGGGGAGACAGTGCCTGTAGCACGTCAGGGAATTCACCAGGAGAACGCAGACCTCATCCAGGCCCCCCCAGGGGCCGCCGGCTCCGAGCCCTGGAACAGGCCCCCTGAGGACAAGTGACATCAGCAGCCTGGGAGCTAGACTCTCCCCTCACCGCTGAGATTTAACCCCTGAGAGCCCAGACCCAGAAGTGAGCAGGTGCAGGTGCAAAGGGCTGGGTTCAGGGGTGAGTCCATTGAGAGTGTCCTCTTGTCCCCACTTTATGCTTTCCTGGTTACTCTCAAATGTTTGTTTTTCCAGATCAACTTTGATATCATTTGTTATTACCTCCGAACCCCCCAAATACTCTTGGTCTTCAGTTGGAATTGAGTTATGGGAGAACGGACATTTTTTACAACATTTGAGTCTTCCTGTCCAAAACAAGGAATATCTTCGTCTGTATCTAAGTGAACTGACATCTTTCTATCAGCTCTTGGCTCTGGGGTGGCAAGCCACACACGGGGGCCAGCAATATGTGAAGTTTCTCTAAGACCCCTCCGTCTCTCCAGGCTTGTCTGCCCCAGGGCAGATCACGCCCGAGGAGGCAGCCTTTCTACACAGTTAGCCCAGGTTCACTGTCACGGTAGATGTCTCCTTGAAGAGCCAGCTCCAAGCGGTTGGCTGTAACCTCACCGGCACCAGGCGGTCCCTCTACCAACCGTTACTCAAGGAGCTGGAAGGGCTGATCTGTGTAGCTTGTAAAGCTTGGCAGAAATATCTTGGTCACCTTTATGGGCTCCCAGGCAGCGGCATTGCTAAACATCCTGCTACTAATGTTCCTCTTTTACAGCACTTTCAAACCAATTTTCAAGTGAGTGTCATAAAATCACTCTATCCAGGAAGTCAGCCCCATAATCTCCAGGACATAAACTTTAAAAGCAAGGTGTAAAATGCCAATGGGACACCCCGACATGCCTCCACTCTGTGCTCGGGTGTGAGTTTATTAGCAAAGCATTAGGCCGTAAAGGTCCACTTGAGAGAGCAGACTGAAAGCGCACCGGTTGTAGGTGGGGCCTGTCAGGTGGTGAGAAACTGATCTGGGAGGACAGGAAAATTACTCCAATGTCAGCAGCACTTGCTAATTTCCAAAGTGTTTACCTTCTGGGGGGGTTTCTATGACTGTAAAACATTGACGCACAGACACACACACACAGACACACACACACACACACACACAACAGCCTGAAAGGGACCTCCCCGGCGGTCCAGTGGTTAAGACTCCACACTTCCAATGCAGGGGACAAGGGTTCCATCCCTGGCCAGGGAACTAAGATCCCGCATGCCGCGGCCAAAAAACTAAAAAAATAAAAAATTTTTTTAAAGATTAAAAAAAATTAAAAAACAGCCTGAGACCCTCGTGTTGCATCGTGTTTTATTGTGTCGTGCGTTGCAGTAGAATTTCTCACTGTCATTGTTGTCTTTTTGTGTATTTGTCTCCCTTAGTGTCAGTTCTCTAAGGGCAGGGCCCACGCCTGCAATTTCCCTCTCCCGCACCTGACACTGTTCTCACAGAGCTTCTTTGGAAAGGCTTGCTGTCGACGATGACCTGGAGGTCACAGCCGGGAACAGGCTCGCAGAGGCGCCTGTTTGTCTCTGCGTCAAGAAAAGCGTTGCTTCGGAAAACACTTCATTAACCTGATGTTTGTCTGATGGGAGCCATGTGTGCCTGGGCTTGAGTGTCACAGAACGTTAGCAGCAGTTGGGGTCCCTCTCCCCGACCAAGGCTGGCGCCTTGGCTGGAGGCTTGAGCCCCACCCCGCCCCACCCCCCTCGCTGTTTGTCCTGCTCGGGAAGGGGAGTTCTGAGGAGGAGGCCGGGCAGGGCTAGGGGGCAGCAGTGGCACATGAAACACACCTGAAAGCGCGCCAGTGGCTGCACACTCTCCCAGGTCCCCACGGGGCTCCTCTGATTGGTTCTTCCTGCCGCTGGGCCCTCAGAGCCACCAGTCTCTCTCCATGCCAGGGTCCCAGGTGTTGAGCATAGGAGCCCATCACAAATCACAGGACTGGCATATTTTGCACCAAAGGTGATGCTATTTATCCTACTTATCTTTACACTGAATTTTTCCTTTACCATGGACTTAGCCCGGACCTTAGGGCAATATCTTTTAGTGGAATCAACTGACAATGTTACAGAAGAAGAAACAGGCTGAGAGAGGAGAATGCTCCACGGTCTGGCTCCTGGTTCCTCCTTTACACCTCATAGATTCCCCCAATGTGAGAAAAGCATAATAAACTATGGTTGTTCACTGCAGAATGGGCCTTAAAATGAGAATCTATCCTAATTTATTAGTACTTCCCAAACTGAACCCAAAAATTTTATCACTAATAATGTTTTACTTTTATGGGTATTTTGTAGCTCACAAAGCACATGTTATCCATTATTTAAATTCACAATAACCCAACAAGACAAACTAGGGTTGTCATCCCTTTTTAACAGATGAGGAAACTGAAATATAATGAGGTAAAATAACATACCCAGGCTTGCAGTTAGTAAACCACAGAGGCAATTCCAACCTTCAGATCTCTGTTCCAAGTCCAAAGCTCTCTCTCCCGCTCTACGGAGCCATCCCAGGAGAAGGGATGAGTTATAGATAGGGATAGAGATACAGTTACAGTGTGGACAGATGCAGATGTAGAACAATCATAGCTACAGATATGGGTAGAGATGTAGTTACGGTTTTGCTATGGATGTGAATATAGATGTGGTGGTGGTTATGGATGTAGAGGTAGATATATAGTTATAGAGAGACATAGAGATGGAGATGGAGAAGGACATGCAGGTGGGGATGGAGCTGCAGATGGAAATGGAAATGGAGAAGGAGATGCAGATGGAAATGAGAAGGAGATGCAGATGGAGATGGGGATGGAGAAGGAGGTGGGGATGGAGATGCGGATGGGGACAGAGATGGAGAAGGAGATGCAGATGGGGTTGGAGTTGGGGATGGAGATGGAGATAGAGATGGAGAAGGAGAAGGAGATGCAGGTGGGGATAGAGATGGAGATAGAGATATGAAATGCCCCTTGAGCTAGCCGAATTAAAATTCTAATATGCAGCTAGAAAACCCTGGGTCTAGATACTCTAGCTCCCGACCATTCCCTTCTGTTCACAGAAGATCTTGTTTAAGGGAGATGATGCCGTAGAAATGATGTCTGCCAGGCTGAAGAGTTCTGGGGCTGCTGGTTCCGTGAACTGAAAGGGATGATAAAATTTCCCTTTCTCTTGTTCATCAAAATTAGCCTTTAGGACTTCCCTGGTGATGCAGTGGTTAAGAATCCACCTGCCAATGCAGGGTACACAGGTTCGATCCCTGGTCTGGGAAGATCCCACATGCTGCGGAGCAACTAAGCCCGGGCGCCACAACTACTGAGCCCACGGGCTGCAACTACTGAAGCCTGCGCGCCTAGAGCCCGTGCTCTGCAACAAGAGAAGCCACCGCAATGAGAAGCCCGCGTACTACAACAAAGAGTAGCTCCCACTCACCACAACTAGAGAAAGCCCATGCGCAGCAATGAAGACCCAACGCAGCCTAAATAAATAAAAATCAGCCTTTAATATATTTAGAAATTTTGGAGCTCCCTGGGACATTCTGGGATGTTAGTTTATATATAGTCCTACTTTGTCTTTATATATTTGAAAAATAAAAGGTGAAACTCAAAGGAAAAAATGAATAGTAAAAATATTTGTTGTAATTTTTACTATTATAAAATTAAATTATATTTTAAGAGTTCCAATACATTTCTAACTGTGGTAGATTTTAAGGTAATTATGTGTCTCTTCGGTAATATATTTGCTATCAACTTATTGCATAAAAGGATTACTTGCGAATTCAAGATAATTTTTAGATTTATAGCCCTTTCAAGTGAAAAGGGGGTTTTTCAGGAGTACTTCTGATTTCCAGTTTCTGGTGAATTTTCCATTTGCCATCAATAATGCTCCCTGCAGAAATCCCCCTTCATGTAAATCGAGCCTGACACTCCTATAATGCACAGTGCAAAAGAGCGCTCTTAGGGCAGGGAATAACGTGCGTGAATTATGTCAGGCCAGCATGCAGAAACCGTTCATCCCACAATTTATGATGCAGATGCTCCCAACACATGTTTTGGTATTCTAAAGAGATGTACGTGTTTTTATATTCATTGGCTATCTTGATAAATGTTTAGTGTGGGCACAGCAAAAACTGCTGATTTGAAAAGATATTTTTGTAAACCTGTTTCGGCCTACCTCTAATATTTATTACTCACATGATCAAAATTGTATGGCTCTATTACCCAGTCTAATGTTGTTTTTGTTGTTTTGATTTTTCCAAAGTAAAGTCTTTGTGAAAGACATCAGTTGGCACCTCAGAGTTTGGATTTCTCTGCAGGTGTGCTGGGGGCCTCAGCGTCCGTGTGCCTCAGCTGCCTGGGCTCAGTCTGTCCAGGAGGGATTTGGAAAGGACCCACGTAAGTAGCAGAGATACAGTTAAAGATGCTATAGTATATCATGCTATGTTGTGTTACTTTACATTACCTTATATTACACTGTGTTATATTACAGTTGTGCTGTGCTGTGTTGCGTTATGTTGCTCATACTATATATCATATCATATTATTACATTATATTGTTTTAGACTATAGGGCTATGGTTGCAATGCAGAAAAATAATTTTGTCTGAGTTGAGGATGGAGTTAGCGTTTGGGCTGAATGATACACTGTCACACTGTCCGCATTCCCTGGATAGTTGCTCTTCTCTTCACTTTCTGTCCTATGACTTGATCATTAAAGTCTGGGTTTTGATTTGTTTGTTTGGTGGTTTTGAAAATGAAAGGCTGAGAACTCACGCTTACCCAGCCTCCTGTCTTCATGTGTGGGGGGGGGGGGGGGCTGTGTGTGTGTGTTTGTGTGTGTGTGTTCCTGAAGATCTCAGGGGCTGGGATTCTATAATGTATCTCAGGGACCAGTTCTCCTATCTATGCCCCTGAGTCATCAGCCTTCATTCACACAAATGTAGAAGCTGGCGGACGCTCTGACTTCCCCTCCAAGGCTGTCTGCGCCCAAGGCTGTCCGCTCAGCGCTTCTCACAATGATGTCTGTCTTGCTTAGCTCCTGGCCAGTGTCTGGGAGTGGAATTTAGTCTGTTATTTGAATAACAATTACAAGAAAAAGCATGCAAATAGACGTGTAACATTAATTGAGGGATTATTTTTGAAAGACACTTTTAGTCACCTTCTTATAGTTAGGTCATTGAAAAGAAACCATTATTCTTTTTGTGAAAGATTGCTCCAGAAGCATTAGAAATCCAAGTAGGAATAAATCGATTAATTTTCAAAACTTGCAGGGATAAACTTTATTCTGAAATCATGGACGTTCTCTTCTAATTAAATTCAAATATGGTTAACTCCTTTCAGACATATTACAATAATGAATAGTAGACTGGGGCGGCGGTGGTGAATATCCTTGATCCCTGTAAATAATTAGATTGGTTGGCTAATAGAGCATAATGCCTAACACTGTAAAAATCCCAACCTTCTACATCTGTCTCATTAGCAAAAATAAATAGGTTTGTGTTAGGCCGACAGACTAACGCAGGAACCCAGTATTGTTCCAGGACCTGCCAAAGGAGGGGAGGACTCTTGCTGGCAGTGGGTATCAACATGGTTTTCTTCTTCCTACAAAGAGAGTGGGATGTGATTAGATTGGCAGCTCTCACAGCTACACTGCTGGTCGGTAACAGCCGAGGGGCAGAGACAGGTAACAGCCGAGGGGCGGAGACAGGAACCGGTTCTCTCTAGGGGGCCCCAGGGACATGGCAAAGAGCTTCTTTCTGCTTTGCAGAGATGGGTGACGAGGGTCCAGTGAGATGATGCCAGTGGTCAGTGTGAGCGTAGCGGGCAGTGTGAACATGGCAACAGCCCAGCCAGACCCCCCTTCAGTGCTTCCCCAGACATACATACCATGCCCTCACTCTTCCCTCAGGGTGTTTACAGAGTCACACTGACATTCTTCCATCCATGAATGCTTGCCAAGGAGGAGAATCAAGCTTGCACTGTGGGCCACGTTTGCACGTGCCTGATCTATACTAGGAAATTGTTGTCCATCCTTTGTGTTCTAAGCAGGGTGACCTGATATCTTGTCTGGGGGTGAAGAAGACTTCTACAATCACCCTCTTCTCTTTCTTTTTAGTTTCATCCATTCAGTTCACCAGTATTAACTTTCTCTGTGCTCAGCACTATTCTAGGCACTGAGAATATTTGCATAAATAAAGTTGATAAGTACATACTCACATAAATACAGAACAGTACTTACAGCCCTCAGCTGTCCTATGCTTATAATTTAGGAGAGAGACAAATGTAATTGATAATTATAATTAATAACTTAATTAAGTAACAGGTAATGATTGATAAATCCTGTATTGAGAATTAAAATATGATCTTTTAGATAAAGAGCAGATTAGGTCTAGAAAGACGCAAAGGAGAACTCTGAAAGGTGGGAAGAGAAAAGTGGATCGGTTAGGGGCCCAGGCTGGAGGGGTACCAGGGCAGGGGGCATCACACAACCCCCGACCAGCATCACAGGGGAACAGGCCGGGCATCTCCTGACCCACAGCCCTGAACAGAAGGCGGGGCAGGTAGGCTCATCCCTCCTCCAGGTCCAGTAGGAGTTCTGCCCACTGACAAGACCAGGTGACCCAGCAGCATCAGCAGAGGACTGACCAAAAGTGGCCCTCCCTCACCTAGAAAAACTGGACGACCAGGGACTCCAGGGGAGGAACCCACCATCTGGCCCAGGAAACACTCCAGGCTCTGGGGCTGGGAACTCTCCCTGCTGGAAGGCATCAGGTGGTCTGGCCTGGGGAAGATGCCCCCACCCACTTAGGTGGCACCAGCAGGGACCAGGGGGAGCCCCACCAGCACCAGAAAACAAGGAGACTGAACACTCCAAGCACTAAAACTGCCATTAGAACCACAGCCCAAGGAAGCAGGCCAAGAACTGTATGCTAAACTTAAATGGGGTGACCACCTGCTGAAATAAAAGATCCAAGTTGCACTGAGTCTCCTGATATAATAGCTGCAACGTCCAGGATACAATCGAAAATTGCATGTCATTCCAAGAACTAGGAGTATCACAACCAGAGTGGGAAAAGACGATCAACCAATATCAACACCAAGACCAGATCAGATGTTGGAATCATCAAACAGGGTTTTAAAGTAGCTGTGAACAAAAATGCATCAGTGAGTAATTACAAATTCTCTGAAAACAAAAAAGTAGAAACCTCAGCAGAGAAATAGACATTATTAAAAAAAAAAATTATAGAACTGAAAATTACAACAACAAAAATAGAAAACTCACTGGACATACTCAGGAGTGGAGCGGGGATGGCAAGGGCTAGGATCAGTGACCTTGAGGACAGATCAGCAGAATCTACACAATCTCAATAACAGAGAGAATAGACTGAAAAAAAAAAATGCACAGAGCTTCAGGGACCTGTGGGACAATAACAAGAGATCCCACACTCACAACATCAGAGTCCCAGAAGAAGAGAAAAATACTAGAGCTGAAAGACGATTCCACAAAATAATAGCTGAAAAATTGTGAAATTTGGTAAAAGGCATTCAAGACACTGAGCTTATCCTAAGCAGGATAAACCCAAAGAAATCCATCCAAGACACATCATAATTAAACTTCGGGAAACCAAAGACAAAGAAAAAAAAATCGTGAAAGACAAATTTCTGATAGATGAACACCAATTCGAATGACAACAGATTTGTCATTGGAAACCCCAGAGGCCAGAGGAAAAGGCATGACATTTGTCCAGTGCTGAAAAAATGACTTGTGAGCCACAAATTCTATAGCCTCAGTGAAAGTATCCTTCAGGAATAAAGGGAAAGTAAAGACATTCTCAGAAATAAAAGAACTAAAAGAATTTGTCACTAACAGACCTACCCTTCAAGCATGGCTAAAGGAAGTTCTTCAAACATTAAGGTGATGACAAAAGAAGGAATCTTGAAGCGTCAGGAAGGAAGAAGGAAGGACAGAAAGAGCAGAAATAGGGGTCAACGCAGCAGCCTTCCTTTTCCTCATGAGTTTTCAAAGTCATGTTTGATGATTGCAGCAAAAATTGTGACACTGTTCAATGCCGAGGACCAGGGTGTTGAAAAGTGGGACCTAAATGGAAGCACAGCTTCCGCACTTCACCGCCGGTGGGAAGGTGGGCCACGACACCACAGCCCCTCCCTGAGCGCTCATCGGAAGAAGCTGAGCTGGAGCGACCACATGGCAAAAGCTGTTACCAAATTTGGGGAAAACATGTTGAAATTTGCATTATTCCCACTATGTCACTAAGACCCGATGCTCAGTTGAACCATACTTAAAATGTGAGTATTCAAAGGTGAGTGCAGGAAAATCCCTCTTGCTTATCCTTCCTCTGGTTCAACATTAGTCAAACCTGCTAATGCACAAATTTCCTCGTCTGATTACAGAGACCGTGCCTTGGATCACGACGGCTGCCTGTGTTTGCTGTCGTGATTTTAAGACTATTACATAAAAAGCCATCGTCCTCTAGCATACACACCCAGAAGGTCTTATTTGGCATTGAAAGTGGTCTGTGATTTTCTGCTTTACGTGGAGCATCGCCTCCGTTATTCATTTTATTCCAATAACGGTAGCATTGCTGCCATCTGAAAAGAGAATGCACCCTGCTAAACTGGCAACCAAGAAGCAGAGACATAGCAACAAACGAGAGAATGGAAAAGGAGACAAGGGATGCTAACAGAAAATAGGGACCAGAAGGGGAGCCCTGAAGATGAGGGTCCTGTGGCTCCTGAGACCCTGGGGAGGAGCAGGGGCAGGGAGGTGACAAGCCCCTGCCCTCCCCTGGGAGCTGGGGACTGGGGTGCTCTCTCTGCATGTGACCTCCCTACTCACCTCCTCAGATTACGGATTGGCCATTGAGGGGTGTTCTTCCTTGAAGAGGCAACGTAGGAGGGGATCCTGGTGAGGCTGGCGTGGTCTCAACCCCTCCATTTCTGGTCACCCCACTTCTGCCAAGGTCCGGGCTTCCGTGTATCCCCTGACGTGACAGTTTAGGGGGTCCCTGCAGCGTGAGCTATTTCCCCCCTGTAGGACCCACATGCCCCCGACCCCCACCCCCAGGCCTTTACCGGGGTCTCTCTGGGCCACCTGCTTCTACATCCTGCCTCTCCCTCAGCAATCCTGGCCCCTGCTGAGTCACAGAGAGTCACTGCCACCCGCGGTCCTGTTGTCCCAGTGTGGAGGAGAGAAACTTGACCCAGAGAAGGACGGACGCCTTGAGTCTTTCTTGAAAGTTTCACCGTCCTGGGTGGTCGCATCCAATGGCTCTCGTCGGCTCACGTCCACACTCTGGCTGCCACAGGCTGGAAGAGGGAGCGCCTGCCCCTCTCACCTCCCAAGCGGGAGATAGGCCTGGCCTTGCCCCCTTCTTGGGATCAGGCAGCTGCAGGAACAGTGCAGCACTACAGATGCCCTCTGACAGCCGCCTGGGTCCCTCTCACCCACGTGCTCTAGGACTTCTGCTGCAGTTGAGTTTCTGTGCCGGTGAAGCTCTCAGGGCAAGAGCCTGAACTGTGAGCAATTTACCGTGTTAACGAAGGTGGCCCTGGGAGGCCTTGCCCAGGAAGAGGTGGTCCTGCAGGAGTGGGCCCTTCATGTGGGGAGGCTACCAGGGAATGAGCTTAAGGAATTGGAGGAAGACACTGTTGGGTTTCATGTGCCTCCCTGGATGGTCCTGGAGATGTTGAAAACCGTCCGGGGTCTCAGGGAGCCTGGGCCCCCGGCTGCCTCCCTGGGCCGTCCTGGGTGAAACCTGCAAGCGACAGATAAAGGTCTAAGGCCCACCGTGCACCCAACCCTCTACCAGTAGCGGTTTGGTTTTTTTGTTTTCTGCTTTAAAGCACATTGTCATACTATATGTGACTCTTTTTGTCTCTACTTGCACCTAGAGGTAACGCCACAAATAAAACACTAAAATGGGAGCTTTTCGGGAAAAAAAAAATAGAATCCAGAATGTTCTGAGCCACTTAAACTCTTCTGGAAAAGTGGAAAAAACAGTGTGGAAGTGTCAATCCTTCTATTGTATTTAGACAGTGTCTTTAAATGTCAACTTTGTATGTGATTGTGAGATGTATATGAACGGAGGCATTACTATCATTCTATCATAATTTACTGCTTGACCAAAATAAACTAATAAGATAAATAAATACATCTGCTCATCCCCAACTGACTAATATGACCCTGAATCGAAATAAAATATTGGATGAGCTGGCGATGCCAAGTTTAAACTGGATTAGTGACAGAATCTCAGTGTGCTGTTTCGATATAATTAACGCGATGATTTAATATGTTTTTAGCTCAGAATCATCGTAAGAGGTTTTTTGTAGCAACATAGAAATGAACACACACTCATCCAATCTGCAGAGGAATAAAAGGTTATAATATTTTTGAGTTCTCCTGGCAGAGGATCCATTCTCATCAATCTCATGCTCGGCAGGAGAGCCTAGGGATGTTTTTCTTCCCATCACTCACAGCCGTTATTTAATGGGGGGTAACAGCCACAGTCTTCATTAATATATTAACCTATGGCTCCAAAAGGCCTCGCAGTAAACCAGCTAAAGACTCCTCCTGGCAGGGTCATGTCACAGGGCTTGCAGACGTTAACCATTGGAAACACTGACCTCAGGGATAAGCCCAAAGTTAATAGCCAGTCGAAGTCGGCTGGCCGACAAGCAGAAAGAGGGAGCCAAGAAGCCGACCTCAGGGAACCCACGTGCGAGCTGTTCAAGAGGGATGGGGCACAACCACGTGTAAAACCTTACGGTGGAACGTCCTGCAGCTTCTAAGAGAATGAGCAAAATGGAACGAGTGCTAAATACATGGTTACGTGAAAAAAAATGAAGATGCCACAGGGATTAAACTCTTAGTTGCTCAGCATTCTAGCACTGAGGGGTCGCCAGAGGAACGGCTGGCTCCTGGCCTGCTCACCCTAAGGCTAAACCTACCGAGGCTCCCTGGAAACACACAGCACGCTTTCCTAATGACACCAGATCTCGGCTCTTTCAAACCGAAAGAACCGAAAAGGAAATCATAGACTCTTGTGGATGTGTAATGAGACAGTAAAGCATGTGTCTGTGGACTCTGCTTCCCGGTTTCCAAATGACTCACAGTGCAAGTCTTCACATCATAAGCTCAGGGGTCTCCCATCCTGCTCACCCTGCAGTGAAACCTGGCTCTGATGAGCCTCCACAGGACACACGAGCCATTGCCTATGCTGTAGCTTGAAGGTCAACAAAGAACGACCGGACATAACTGGGAAACCAGAAATACGAAGGACAGGGCTTCCCTGGTGGCGCAGTGGTTGAGAGTCCGCCTGCCGATGCAGGGGACACGGGTTCGTGCCTCCGTCCGGGAGGATCCCACATGCCGCGGAGCGGCTGGGCCCGTGAGCCATGGCCGCTGAGCCTGCACGTCTGGAGCCTGTGCTCCGCAACGGGAGAGGCCACGGCAGTGAGAGGCCCGCGTGCCGCAAAAAAAAAAAAAAAAAGAAATACGAAGGAGAAAGAATAAGGGAAACGAGAAAAAGGGAACCAAGAAATCATATGCACCTATGATCCCATATCGATTTAAAATATACACAGTGTGTCAGAGAAAGACAAATATCACATGATATCACTTGTGTGCAGAATCTAAAAAAAATCATACAAATGAATTTATTTATAAAACAGAAACAGACTCACAGACATAAAAAACAAACTTATGGTTACCAAAGGGGAAAGGGTGGCAGAGAGGGCTAAATTAGGAGTTTGGGATTAACAGATACACCCTACTGTATATAAAACAGATATACAACAACGACCTAGCACAGGGAACTGTATTCAGTATCTTATAATAACTTATAATGGAAAAGAATCTGAAAAAAATAGATATATTGTATGTAGGGAGTTCCCTGACGATCCAGTGGTTAGGACTCAGCACTTTCACTGCTTTGGCCCTGGGTTCAAAACCTGGTCGGGGAACTGGGATCCTGCAGGCCATTCGGCACAGTCAAAAAAAAAAAAAGAATATATATATATATATATCCGGATCACTTTGCTGTACACCAGAAAGTAACACAACATTGTAAATCAACTATACTTCAATTAAAAATATATATATACACAGTGTGTTTGTAAGTACACCAACGTATGTGTGTTTATACATGTGCATATATATGTGTATCTGGAAAGATATGTACTCAGATTCGAGCAGTGCTAATCTCTAGGTGGTGGGACATACTTTTTTTTTTAACTGTTGCGTTTTTCAGTTTTCATTTTCCAATTCCATAAGTGTACAATGCTTCTGAAATTACACAAAAAATGTTTTTCAAAATACAAATAAACTAAAACAGTATATTAAAAACCTAGAGTAGGGCTTCCCTGGTGGCGCAGTGGTTGAGAGTCCGCCTGCCGATGCAGGAGACACGGGTTCGCGCCCCGGTCCGGGAGGATCCCACATGCCGCAGAGCGGCTGGGCCAATGAGCCATGGCTGCTGAGCCTGCATGTCCGGAGCCTGTGCTCCGCAACGGGAGAGGCCACAACAGTGAGAGGCCCGCGTACCGCAAAAAAAAAAAAAAAAAAAAAAACCTAGAGTGATCTGAGATGTTGCAAGAAACAGAACAGAACTTCAAAAAAGACTCCAAATAGTATCTTAGAGATCCTGGGGAACAAATGCATTCGTAAAACAAGAATAGGATGACATGAAAAAGGAAAGAATAGAGGACAAGTAACTTTTAAAAGAATGCTGAAATTGAAAACATTAACAGAAAAGTTGTAAGACGGAGCTGGGGAAAAAGGCAGATGGAAAATATGGGAAGCAATAAAAGACTTAGAACATCAATCCAAAAAATTTCAACATCTAATCAATAAGAGTACCAGAAAGAGAGTGTAAAGAATCTGAGGGGTGAATGTTGTTAAAGAGAGATTATCAGAAATTACCAGAATCAAAAGTCTTCAAATGGGGCTTCAAATGGGACTTCCCCATACCTCAAAAAAAAAAAAAAGTCTTCAAATGGAGAGTTCTCAGCACAATAAATGAAAAAGAGACCCACATCTCAATATATCACTTCAGAACACACAAAGAGACAAGAATCAGATTGGCATCTGATTTTCCATACACAACACTAGATGCTAGAAAATAATGAAGCAACATCTTCAAAGTTCCTAGGGAAAAAAGTCTGTTTCACCTAAAATTCTGCAGCCCACCAAACCACCAATCAAGCGTGAGGTAGAATACAATCATTTTCAGATACGACATTTACAGAGTTTACTTCGTGCTCTCTCCTTCCCCTTCTGGGAAGTTACTCAAGAATGTGAATCAGAGAATGGAGAGAAAGTGACAAACCGAGGGGCACTCGTCCCCTTGCCCCCTCCCCTTCCAGGAAGCAGCCCTGGAGCTTAATGAGGGGAAACCCTGGGTGACAGAAGTCTGGATGCTACCTAGTGAAAGGACGCAGAAGGAGAATGCTGTGCCTTAGGTGTCTTTACAGAGGGTGACTAGGAGGGGCCATGTCAAAGGTTGGGTTTTCCAGAAACAGGAGCTGGGATGGAGTTTGTGTTGGACATCCGCACAGAGGAAAGGGGAGGAAGCAGGGTTGGGGAGCTGTGGCTCAGGCCAGGAGCCTGCAGGGCAGAGTGGGCCACCATGGCCCATCAGAGGAGCCCCCCAAATCCCCTCCCCCAGCCCATCGCTAGACGTGGACCACCCAGGGAAGGGCGTGCCTGTGGTCAGGGAGGCTCTCGGCAGCAGAGGCCGGCCCTGAAGGGGCATCTGGTGCACACGTCTCTTGGTCGGCCCACAGCACAGTCCATGGCAAACCCCTGGAAAGCACAGAGATGAGCTGCAGGGGTTCTATCAGCCCCCTGCAAAATCTACAGGCAGGACGCTAAGTTATGGTTCTGAAGAGTTTTCTATGGGGGGAGCACAGAGTAAGTTAGTCTAAGTATGCAATTTCCTGAAAACGGGTTAATGAAACTTAAAGGATATAAAAATTAAATTAACTTTTAAGATCTTCATCTCCAATATCCATTGCCTAGGCTAAGTTTTTTTTTTTTAATAACTTTGCTTTTCTAAGAGCAGTTTAGGCCGACAATAAAACTGAGACGAAGGGATTTCCCACCCGGCCACCCGGCCGCCCGCTGCCCACACGCAGGCATAGCCTCCCCTCTGTTGGCAGCACTCACCAGAGTGGTTCACTTGTTTTACCAAAGGTGAACCTCCACTGACACATCAGCATCACCCAAGTCCATGTTTATCCTAGGGCTCACTCTGGGTGGCGTACACCCAGTGGATTTGGACAAATGTGCAATGACATATAGCCATCATCATCATATCATAAAGAGTATTTTCACTGCCCTAAAAATCCTCTGTGCTCTACCTATTTAGCTTTTCCCAACCCCTCCCCTCCAAAACCACTGATCTCTTTACCGTCTCCATAGTTGTGCCCTTTCCAGATTGTCATAGAGTCAGAATCATGCAGTGTGTCGCCTTTCCAGACTGGCTTTCACTTAGTGACGTGCCTTATGGTTCCTCCATGCCTTGTCTTGGCTTCACAGCTCATCTCTTTTTAGCACCGAATGATATTTCACTCTCTGGATACACCACAGGTTATTTATCCTCTCACCTACTGACGGACGTATGAGTTGCCTCCAGTTTTTGGCAATTATGAATAAAGCTGCTCTGAGTGTTTGTGTGCAGGTTTTGTGTGGAGATATGTTTTCAACTCTTCTGGGTAAGTACCAAGGAGCATGCTTGCTGGATTATATGGTAAGAGTACGTTTCATTTTGAAAGGCACCGCCCAACTGCCTTGCCAAGTGGCTGCACCACGTGCGTCCCCACCAGCGGTGAGCGTTCCGGCTGCCCCACGTCCTCGCCAGCATTTGGTGTTGTCGGTGCTCTGGATTTTGGCCATTCTCAGAGGTGTGTAGTGGTGTCTCGTTGCTGTTTTAATTTGCATTTCCCTGATGACATAGGATGTGGAGCTTACTTGCCATCTGTATATCTTCTTTGCTGAGGTATCTATTAAGGTCTTTGGCCAGTTGTTTTAGTTGGGTTGTTTTCTTGAGTTTTGAGAGTTCTTTGAGTTGAGTTGAATTTTGAGAGTTCTTTGTCTATTTTGGATAATAACCCTTTATCAAATGTGTCTTTTGCAAATATTTTCTTCCACTATGTGGCTTATCTTTTAATTCCCTTGATATTGCCTTTTGCAGAGCAGAAGTTTTTAATTTTAATGAAATCCAGCTTAACAATTATTTCTTTCATGGATCGTGTCTTTGGTGTTGTATCTAAAACGGCATCACCGTACCCAAGATCATCTAGGTTTTCTCCTATGTTATCTGCTAGGGGGTTTGCATTTTACACTTAGGTCTATGATCCATGTTGAGTTAATTAGGTTAGGCTTTTGACAGTATTTATGTGATAGATTGCTCAAAACTATCTGCACTCCTAAGTTTGTTGCAGCATCACTTACAATAGCCAAGATATGGGAACAACCTATGTGTCCATCGAAAGATGAATGGATAAAGAAAATGTGATGCATACATACAATCAAATATTATTCAGCCTTAAAAAAGAATATACGTTATATTCTGTTTTATGCTACAACATGGATGAACCAGGAGGGCATCACGCTCAGTGAAGTAAGCCCGTCCCAGAAGGGCAAATCCTGCATGATTCCACTTATCTGAGGAATCTAAAGTAATCAAACTCACAGAAGCAGATGGTAGCATGGTTGTTGCCAGGGGCTGGGGGAGGGGAGACATGTGGAGTTGGTAATAGGCATAAAGTTTCCGTTGTGCAGAGATCTGTTGTGCAACTTCATGCCTCCAGTTAACAATTCTGGTTTTTTTCCTTGAAAATTAGTTTTAAGAGTGGAGCTCTCAAAAAAAACAAGAGTGTCGCTCTCATGTTAAGTGTCCTTATGACAAAGGAGGTAGGGGCATGAGGAAGTTAGCAGGTGGTGGATAAGTTTATTGACTGTGATGATGGTATCACAGGTGAAAGCACATGTCCATACTAAACAAAGTGTATACATCAAATATGTGCATTTTTTATATATAACAGTTGTATCTCAATAAAGCCATAAATTAAATTGATCCGGTTGCTGTAATACACTTATGCCAAGTGTTGAAAAGAGATTATTTTTTGAAAAGAGATTCCTATGCTTTAGATACCAGCATACCAAGTGTTGGTATTTGCACAGCAAGGCTGAGGTTGTATTCTAAACGTCTAAAACCCTGACTTATTTCGCTATCCTCATGAAGGACAGCTGTATCCTCCACGGAATAGGATTATGGAGGCCCCAAAGGCAAACTACTTTTCCATAGTTTCGACAAGTACTCAGTTACAGCACCATCATTCTGTTCCTCTGCGTAGA